AAGAAGTCCAGAACTGTCTAACTCAAATGCACAGTAAATTACCTTTTTCATCAGAAAAAAAAGCACAAAACCATTTGAAACAATACATTATCCTTTCAAGATATTTATCCTCAGTGCAATTTATGTATCCTGCAAAAACATCTAGGTTACCTTTTGCTGCCTTTAGAAATGTGAGTGATTTTATTAATATAGAAGGCTTAAAAGGAATGGGTCTGGATCTTGATTATTATTTACATATATCTCAAATTGAATTTACTTTAATGATTTATTAACCACTGCAGTTGATCCCAAAATGAGTACCTCTAAAATGAGAAATTGGGTGAAATTACAAGGGAAATTACTGTGTGTATGAACTAGGTAAGTTAGCCCTAGTTTACGCACATGCCCAAGAAACTACACCCAGAAAACAACAAAGAAAATAATGCAATTCATCATTCCTCCAACATGTGATTTTTGATTTTCCTGTTTTAATCAAATGGAGATAATTAACAAGGAATCTTTATAAAATAATATTCTTTTTTTCAGAGTATGTAGTTTTTCATGTAACTTTCTAAACATTCTCTTTATGATCTATGAATAAAATTTCCCATCATGAAAAAATTGTTCTTATCCAAACATTTTTATGTTCCCCAATTTTCTAATTAAAAAGACAAAATCTGATTCCATTGTTTAATAATTATACAAAATTCTGGAGTTGTTTTTCAGCGAATTTTTGTCTTGTATTTGTTTTATTTTATTTATATTTTAATTTTATTTATTCAATATCTGTTTCATCACCTTGTGACTTTCGTAATAAATAAACACTTGGGACTGATAAATACACAAAATCTATATTAAACGCATAGATTATTACTAATTTTATGGTCTTATGTGTTACTAAGTGGAAATAATTAAGTTTAATTATTTTCTTCATTGTTATACTAACACTTTAAATGTATACCTCCTTCATTGTAATTGACTTCGGAAAATTCTGTTTCATTTTTAAATGTAATTTTATTTAAATATAACCAGTATTCAAAAGCTACATATTTACCATGTAATGTAACTTCGATGGGGCTTGGGCTTCCTGCCAACATAGTTGTTGTGTTTCAAGATCAAATGTGCAAAAGCACTAGGTACAAGCTCTATCACTTTTTATGACTTAACCTTGGATGTCACATAAGGTCACTTCTACAGTTGTAGGCCTGTCAGATTCAGAGGAAGAAACATAAATCCCACCCCAGATAGCAGGAGTGTCACCATTCCTTTGTGAAAAGAGCATGCCAACTTTGGTGCAGGAAATGCAATCTGTGACATATCTCAATCTCCTCACACCTTTCATCTGTGCCACTATAAGTTCAAGTGAAAAGTTCTATCAGGATTGAATCCCTCTAAAATAACACATCTCAAAGATTCAGTTTACTTAAAATGAACTGATAATGGAATAAATACTCTAATTACTTCATATTTACCCCATGGATTAATATTTCGAAATATTAGTGGATAATCAAACAGCATTATCAGACATTTCCTATTTAATTTGCAAAACTCACCTCAAGAAAGTAACACACAGAAAAACAAGACTGGGGCTCAGCGCTGTGGCATAGTAGGTAAAGCTGCTGCCTATAATGCCGGCATCCCTTGTGGGTGCTGGTTCGAGTTCCGGCTGCTCTACTTCCGATCCAGCTTTCTACTATGGCCTGGGAAAGCAATAGAAAATGGCCCAAGTCCTTGGGTCCCTGCACACACACGGGAGACTTGGAAGAAGATCCTGGCTCCAGATCAGTGCAGTTCCAGTGGTTGCGGCCATCTGGGGAGTGAACCAGCAATGAAAGACCTCTCTCTCTCTCTCTCTCCCTCCCTCTCTCTCTCTGCCTCTCTGTAACTCTTTCAAATAAGTAAAATAAATATTTTAAAAACATGAAAAACAATACTACATGTGAAGCATGGGAAGAGCCACACATCAAAGGCTGTTAACATTATAATCCAAGTTAAATAATACTTAAATGTAATTTAAAGAATGCTGTCAAATATAGACATTTGCTAAGAAGTACTAGGAAGTGCTATACATCTTTATTCCTTTCAGAATTTTTTTTTTTACCAAAAACATTAAATAAAAATCTAGAGGGATTATTTGATAGGTACTTGTGAAAACAAATCAACATTTTCTATTTCTATTCAATACTTACTGAACATCTATAATATATCTGGCAAAAATGAATACTAAGTACCTGTGGCACACTAGCTATTTAGGACATATATACAGTTGGATCGTCTCTCAGTATATGAGGAAACATAGTTTTAAGACCCAAGAACGCTCCACTCATATAAGGAGCCTGTTCACCAATGCTACCCTGACAGAAGATCATGGGCTGGCAAAACAAAGTTCTCCTGAAATCAGACTTTTTTTTCTCCAATATTAAAGATAGTTTAGTAAACTTGCACCAGATTTTTTCAGAGAAAGCTGTTTCTTCAATGAATATATAGCACTAGAAGAGGGAAAGGAAATGATGAAAAAGTTCTCTTCCTGCATTCAGAATTGACCTGTTGTTTGTATGGGTTTACGAGTATGAATTAGAATTACTGGGGTGTCTGGGGGGTGGAGCACTTGGCTGGGGCCAGAGGTGGTGGTTAAGACACTGGTTAAGATGCCTACATCCCATATGCTAGCACCTGCATTTCGTAACTGCCTCTGACTCTTGACTCCAGCTGGCCCTTGCCACCAACGTGGGAGGCCCCGATGAAGCTCTTGGCTTATTCTGGCTTCAGCCTGGCCCAGCCCTGGCCATTGGGGTCACCTGGGGAGTGAACAACTAATGGAAGATCTTTTCTTCCCTCTCCCTCTCCATAATTCTGCCTTTCAAATAAATAAATAAATCTTTAAAAAATCTTAAAAGAATTACTTGTGGATATTTTAGGGTATTTACTGGATATTAATTTTGCCTCTTAAATAAGTAGTTAGGATTTTAAATCATATAAAAACATAGCTTGTTTGACTTGAATTTCTGCCTTATCACTTGATATTGTAAATACTATAAATAGCATTTTGATTGTTTTTCTTCAGATACTGCAAGTTTCCAAATTAACACTAGTATTTTTTTTCTTAAATTTTATAAGAAAGCGTTAAGCTTTCTTGAGTCAAAGAGGCATAAGAATCTCGTAGCCAGAAATTATTCCTATTAGTAATATAAAGTAATGCAGAAAAAAAAAAGTGTAGTTATAGGGGCTGGCGCCAGGGCGCAGTAGGTTAATCCTCTGCCTGTGGCGTCGGCATCCCATATGGGCACAGGTTCAAGTTCTGGCTGCTCCTCTTCCAATCCAGCTCTTTGCTATGGCCTGGGAAAGCAGTGGAAGATGACTCAAGTCCTTGGGCCCCTGCACCCACATGGGAGAACTGGAAGAAGCTCCTGGCTCCTGGCTTTGGATCGGCGCAGCTGCAGCCATTGCAGCCATTTGGAAAGTGAACCAACGGAAGGAAAACCTTTCTCTCTGTTTCTCCCTTTCGCTGTCTGTAACTCTACCTCTCAAGTAAATAAATAAAAATATTTTTTTTTAAAAAAGTGTAGTTATAAACCTCTAGTTTATTTACAACTTTCCAAATACGTTATAGGATCCAAAGTTTTATTTTATTGGAATTAATTAATGTTCCTAGGCAATCAATGAATTCATAAAAACCAAGTTAAATGGTCTTTTCATAGTTGGGTTTCATTTTTTCCCCTGGTTTTCTTCCTTCACTCTGTTAATGTTTATGAATGTATGTACCTAATATATTCTAAGCCCTGTGCAAGGGGCTGTGTACCTGAGTGAGACAAACAATTCTGGCCCTCAGAGAACATAAAGTCGATCAAAGAAACAGACAAGGACCAGGAAAAAAAAAATAGTGCTTATATAGGATGAATTCAATTACTGATCCAAATATTGCCAACACTGTCCTAGGTGTTAGGGATATAGCATTAAAAAAAAAAAAAAAAAAAAAAAGGCCAGGCCCTCTTCTCATGAAATTAAATCAAAGAAACAGGTCTTAGTCAAATGTGACACAAAGGTGCATGTGTCATTTAGAACTCATTTCCAAGTGGTCAGAACCCCTACTGGCACTCACATAAGAGTCTGTCCACTTTCCCAAAGTGAAAGAACCCAGGGTTATTTGCAGCATGGTTAGTATAGGGGTCCAAACAATGTCACCAGAACCTAATACCTTGCCTTCTTTTACCTTCTTCCCCTGCATTTAGATTTCATTCCTACATTCAAATCCAGTGATAAAAGAACAATGTCTCTTTCTTCCCAACAAATATTCTAGGTACAACCCTCATCAGTCCAAAATAGATCACATACACATCCCTGGGTGGAGGAATGTGGTGCTCTGATTGCCCAGGCATAAGTAACACATTCATCCTTAGAGCTGGGAGTAGAGCCAATTCCAGGAGAATTATGAATGGGTATTATGTATTCCCAAAGTCTTTTTGGAACAATTTAAATCAATCATGTTTTAAGTAAAATCTAAGCCAGCATTCCTTCTAAACATATAATATAGAATTTATATGTTTTTTATTTTTATAAAAAGCATCCTTATTTCTGTACTTCAAAGATTTTCTTATGAGGTAGGCACTGTAGCAATGAGACACTTTTTAATTATTTTTGTTTTTACAAGACAAGTTCATTTTACAAATGACCTTTAATCCCATATATGAGGATTATATAGAAATCATGATAGGCATATCCATTACATAATTAAGTGCTTAACAATTACAGTACTGTCTTTTTTTAAAATCCAATTAACTTTCCTTACCTCAATTCTCAGACAACACACACACACACACAAACACACATATTTTAAGCGCAAACACTTATGGTGTTTTCTTTGGAACTTTGCTCAGTGATCAAGATACATATGGAAACCTTATTAGCTATATTTAAGATTAAATTTACACTGAAATGCTAACTTTTAAATCCTGAATTAGAGTGATTCTTTTTTTTGGGGGGGGGGCAGGGATCCAAGTACTTGAGCTATCATTGATACCTACCAGGGTATACATCTGCATGAAGCTGGAATCAAGTGAAGCCAGGACTGGAATCCAGAAACTCAGATATGGATGAGGGTGCTCAACTGGTGTCTTAACTGCTGCACCAAATATCCACCCTGGATAAAGATTTAATTCAGACAATTAGTTGGAAATTCTGGCAATATACAGCAAATCCACTTCAGAATGGATTAAAGTACAGTAGGAACTCATTTGCTCCCATAATGAAAAGATCTCTCAGGCTGGTAAAAGTGCTGAGTCGTTTGTTCAGAGCACAGGTTCCATTTCTGTGTTCTCCTCCATGTGTGATGTCATCACAGGCTGGCCTCCTACTAGTAAGAGAGGCCACAACAACTCTTGGCCTCAAATATGCATGCAGAACCTTCCAGAAGAGGTGAGCCTGGCTCTGTCTTAGTACCTCAGCAAAGCTCTGAGAGTCACTCTGATTCTGTGGGATTAGGGCACATACTTATCCTGTGCATGCAAGCCATGTGCTCAAGCATCTTGACTGGTTCTGGTGCTCCACCCCAACCCAAGTCTATAGAATAACTTCCCAGAAACCACAGACACTCAAACAGAAACCCAGGGCTCTGAAAGAAAAGAGGACTGGATACTGGAGAGACAACCAAAAATGCATTTGTAGGAATCAGGGAAATTTATTTATTTTTTTATTTATGTGTTTTTTTTGTGTGTGTGTGTTTTTTTTTTTTTTTTTTTGACAGGCAGAGTTAGACAGTATGAGAGAGAGAGAGAGAGTGAGAGAGAGAAAGTCTTCCTTTCCATTGGTTCACCCCCCAAATGGCCGCTACGGTCGGTGCACTGCAGCGGGCACACTGTGCCAATCCGAAGCCAGGAGCCAGGGGTTTCCTCCTGATCTCCCATGCGGGTGCAGGGCCCAAGCACTTGGGCCACAGCAGAGAGCTGGACTGGAAGAGGAGCAACTGAGACAGAATCCGGTGCCCTGACTGGGACTAGAACCTGGGGTGCCGGCACTGCAGGCAGAGGATTAGCCAAGTGAGCCACGGCGCCAGCCATGTTATTATGTTTTGTTACTTACTTATTTGAAAGGCAGAGAGATAGGGTCAGATCTAGAAAGTGAGCTTCCATTAGCTGGTCACTCCCCAAATGTCCATATCAGCCAAGCTTGTGTTAGGCCAAAGTCAAAAGCCAGTAACTAAACCCAGGTCTCACATGTGGGTGGCAGGAACCCAAGTATTTGAGCCATCACCTGTTGCCTCACATAGCGCACATTAACAGGAAGGTAGTTGTTGAAATAGAGCTGAGAATTAAACCCAGGCACTCCAATGGGGTGTGCAGGTGTCCCAAGTGGCTTCTTATCCACTTCACCTCCTCCCCCAGATTTAAAAAATACAGAGTAGGTGTCAGCATTTTTTGTCATCTGAAAGGAAACAATGGAGAAACAGAAATTAAAAAGTAAATATGACTCGGGGATCCCAAAGAAATGAATCAAAACCCCATGGTGATTCTTGTTGGTAAGGAGTAGGAGAGATCAAAGACACAGAGTAAAAAAATGAGTGAAAACAGGGCTACTTCAAGGCAACACGGAGGAAAGCTGAGAAAATGTTAGCTGGTAGCTATGAATATGAATGAAGTTTGAGAAAGTGATGTAACCAAGTGAAAATAAGGTAGAAAAGTGAAATAGAGCACTTTAGGCATCAAGAGAAGGATGGATTCTGTTGTCATGGAAGTTAAAGTTAATAGTGATTTTCAGGCTAATAGACCTAGAAAACAAAATGAAAAAGCATAAGCAGGGCTAGAAAACTAGAATGTTGTAGCTGAAAAGAAAATATGAGTAGCACAGTAATAAAAGTAATTGTAGAAAACAGTACCTACTAGAGAAAGAGGATTGGGAAATGAACGATTATGAGGAAAGAATTGATGTAGATTTTTTTAAAAAAAAATGACAAATCTTAAGAATAAGATGCTGAATTTGCCTTTCAAAATGTAAGTATATGAGTACATAGCTTATTCTTTTCTCTATTAGAAAATGTATCACTATTAGAGTTGAATATGAGTAATTTTTAATTTCCACCAGTGCTACTGAATCTTTGAAACAAGTAAGACAGAATAAGCTTATTTTGGGGTGCTTGTATAGATTAGCAATTAAGGCTTTACTTCTTCCCCCTTTATTTAATACATATTAAAAATTTCCTCCCCATCATTGACTAGTTGGCTTCTGAGAAGAATTCTTGCCCTAAAATAAAGAGGTCTCATGTTTATATTCAGCTCATCTGATTCACAGTTTTGTTACGAAAGAGGGGCATGAAATAAAAATATCTGGAAAATCTAAGCCTGGAACACAGAGTTACGGAAAAAGGCAACCATGGTTCAACTTGCCTTAGGACACTGGCCTTAACAGAGGACTCATATTCAAAACTGGTGTATGGGTCCCAGAGAATGAAGCAGTTGCATCAAAGATAATGTGCATTTGGGGTGAGAAAAAGAAACATCTTGCTGGACACACCTAATCTTTAGTTTTGCCTATTACAACATGAAAAGGGTCAAAGAGACAAAGATCATGTGGAATTGTGAAGGATTATTCTTCTCCAGGAGAGTAAATTTTTCCCCCTTCCTCTTTCCAACCTCACAAATTGTTTTCTACCAAGAGCTCTTAATTGTGCTGGAAAAAATTAATAGTTTTCACTACCAAACCCTCAAAAAGACAGCATAACATGAATACTCAGCAAATCACAATTTCTTTTTCTTTTCAAAGGATCAGAATACAACATCAAGATACTTTGCTCAACATAAAAACCATCATATATTTCAAGTAACTACAGTGTGCCAGGAATAGTATTTGGCATTTTACCCACATCATCTGATTTATTCTTTTTACAGTCCTTCAAGGTGTATAGTATCATCGTCTCACAGATAAACATATGCCAAGAAGTCAAGTACTAACCCAAGCATATGGAACCAATTAGTTTGCAGAGCTGTATTTGAAACCACATCTGATTCTCTTTCTTTTACACTACCCTCTCTTAAAACACTTACAGAATTTATTAATGTTCATAAGTGAAAGTTAATAGCTCAAATAAATAGTCACAGAAAGGTGAAATAATTTTTAAATATGGATCATTCAGTTACCAATTTATTCACAATCAAATGTTACACATCATTCTTGGACTCACTGTAAAATATAAAAATATATACAAGTCCAGATATCAGAAATATCTTTAGGTTGGGTGCAAACTCAATTAGCTATACTCAGTAGAGTATAGCTGTGGAAGATAGGGACAACACAGTCCTGACAGAAATCAAGCAGGTCAGGTCTGGGAGCCCCTCTTCTATTCAGAAACATGGAGAGAAAGGATAAAATTTTGATGAAAACCAGTAGCACTGTAAAACTCATTGACCTAAGAGAGTTTCATTCAACAGGAACACTATCAAACCCAAACAAGTGTATGGAGGACAAATGTCGACCTGAGGAACAGAATTTACCTTGGCTCCAGGAGCCACTTTACACATTAGCTGATACCATGAAAATAAGGATTGCCATATTTAGAAAAGGTCACAGCAGGCAGGAATGCTTTCAGATTCCTGCTACAGTATCAGGACGCGTCAATCATCACTATGTGTTTTTGTACAGTACTTGGAGTTGGAGGCCTGAGAATAAGGCTGCAATTGTACTGAATTTACCCTGGATTGGCCCCAGCACACAAATAAAACAGGGTTATAAGCCCGTTCTGCACTTCATCATGCAGATGTATACCAGAGCAGCGGTTCTCAACCCCTGGGCCCTGCCTCCCTCCAAGAGGGCGTCTGGCAGGGTCTGCAGCCATGTTGGATTGCCACACCGTGGGGGCAGGGATGCTACCGGCATCCAGAGGGTGGAGGAGTCTACAGCACACGGGACCGCCTCCCCTCAGCAGAGAAGTGTCCGACCCAAGATGGCCAGCGCGGAGCTGAGAACCTCCGGTCCGGGGGAGGCTATCGCATTGGTGGCGGGAGGGGGCGTTTTGGTCACCGCTCCCCATTCCCTACATCCCAATGCTCAGGGCTGGTTACCCTAGCAGAGAGGTCATCAGCAGGCCCACAGTGTGGACCGGGTGAAGACGGCGTTGTCTCCTTTCCATGTAAAACATAAAGCACCTGTAGCTCGGGCTGTAGATCCCTGTGGTTGTCACTGGCACCGTTGGCGTTTTCTGACGTCAACAAACCAGAACCCAGAGCCCATCGGCACCCAGGTTTCTCCCTGGTTTAGGTTTCCTCCCCTCAGCAACGTGCGCTGTGCCCTATGCCCTCTGCAGCTCTGCTTAAATAGCTCTAGTTATCTGGTTCCCTAAGATTTCTTCTATGAAAAATGAGATGACTCGAACTAGACAGAGGCAGCCCCCTATGGGAGGGTACGGATGGCTTGGTAAGGAGGGGAAGGCCCAAAGCCAGTCAGCCCCAAATCCTATCCCAGCTCCAGCACCCACTGATCTGATGCTCACAGGCAGGTTACCTTTTCTCTCTGGCCTCAGTTACTTCATCTTATAAAATGGTGGCATAGCATATTTCCTGCAGCACATTGCTGCTGGTATAATGCCCTGCTTAGCCACAGAGAGGCCCCTTGTACTTGGATGCTGTTCCACCCTGTGTTGCTATCTCAGGGAATGGCTATCAGTGAAAGTCTCTTCCAGTATGGAAACTACACAGACTTATTTAAATTTTTTAGATTTAATCATTTATTTTGAAAGATTTACAGAGATAGCCGCAAAGGGAAGCACTGGGCCAGCCCAAAGTCAGGAGCTTCATCCAGGTCTCACACATGGGTGTCAAGGGATCAAACACTTGGACCATACTTCACTGCTTTTCCCAGGCCATTAGCAGGGACGTAGAGCAGCCAGGAAATGAACCAGTGTCCATATGGGGATACTGGCGTCATGCAGCTGCTTTACCTGCTACATCACAGGGATAGCCCTGGCACCACAGAGACAAAAAATTTAAAAGTGTCTTCCAGGCCACCATTGTTCCCTTTGCAGATACTCAAAGGTTTGCTTGAGACACTGTATCATTTTCTGGATTTGTATTTTCATGTGATCCCTTGGGCTCTGAGAATGGGGACGCCAGATTCTTTTGAAACCTTGAGGACCTAGATGGGAATTTCTTTTTGTGTCATAGAACTCTGGCATTCTGTGAAGCCTCTGGACCCCTTGCCAAAGTATTTTTAAGTGCATAAAATGAACCACAGTTCACCAATTCCTGAAATTTAAAGGAATGTGTAGACTCTGGGTTAAGAATTTTGGTTTAGGGCAGTGTTTCTCAACCTGAATTGTGGAGGAATCTGACAGTTTCTGATTGTTAAAAATTGTATTGTTAATCATAAAGAAAGAGCCACCACAAGCATATTATGACTCATTTGGAGAGGTTAACAGGTTTATTTCTCTTTTACAATCTCAGTGTGCCAACACTGAGTAATGAACTACTGCTAGATTGACTGATAAGAAAGCGTCAGACACTAAGTAATATATTGGGGTGAAATAACTTTTTAGTTCAATGAAGGAAAGAAGTTTTCATGGTGGATGCATACCAAAAGAGAAAATGGAGAACTGAACCTCACTGAGCACACAGTACAGGAAATACCTGTGTTGAAAAGAACCCATGTCATAGCCAGAGAAGGCAGTACTATATATGTGCAGCCAGTATTGGTTTAATTTTAACAAAGCATAAAAAAAAAAAAAAAAAAGGAATTGGGCCAGCGCTGCGGCTCACTAGGCTAATCCTCCGCCTTGCGGCGCCGGCACACCAGGTTCTAGTCCCAGTCGGGGCACCGGATTCTGTCCCGGTTGCCCCTCTTCCAGGCCAGCTCTCTGCTGTGGCCCGGGAAGGCAGTGGAGGATGGCCCAAGTGCTTGGGCCCTGCACCCCATGGGAGACCAGGAGAAGCACCTGGCTCCTGCCTTCGGATCAGCGCAGTGCGCTGGCCGCAGCGCACCGGCCGCGGTGGCCATTGGAGGGTGAACCAACGGCAAAGGAAGACCTTTCTCTCTCTCTCTCTCTCTTTCTCTCTCTCTCTCACTGTCCACTCTGCCTGTCAAAAAAAAAAAAAAGAAGTTGGGGGCCAGCTCTGTGGTGTAGCGGGTAAAGCCGCTGCCTGTAGTGCCAGCATCCCATATGGGCACTGGCTCGAGTCCTAGCTTCCACTTCTGATCCAGCTCTCTGCTGTGGCCTGGGAAAGCAGTAGAAGGTGGCCCAAGTCCTTGGACCTCTGCACCCATGTGTGAGAACCGGAAGAAGCTCCTGGCTTTAGATCAGTGCCGCTCTGGCCATTGCAGTCGTCTAGGGAGTGAACCAGCAGATGGAAGACTTTCTCTGCCCCTGCCTCTCTGTAACTCTAACTTTCAAATACATAAGTAAATCTTTAACAAAAAATAAAATGAGAAAACTAACAGATCAAATAGGCAAACTAGGTTCATTTGGCAAATAAACAGTAATTTGGCATATGAACAACTAGATCAGACTTCATGTAAAAATCATGTGAATATTAAATTGTATAAAGCTGTCCCTTGTAATTTCGGCAAATTGTGGATTTCTGTGTCAGTTCTTGGGGCTCATGGTTAGCCAGCTTACAGCATGGTTGCATTTTAATTAAAATATTTGTTTTGGCAGATAGTGATCCAAATCTGTGTCAAGAATGTTGCTGTACTCCAAGTGACAACAGGATATAGGATTACTGTAAGTAGCAAAGCTAAGGTAAACAAACACAGGAGAGTTTACATGGTGGTAGGTAGGTTTCCTGGTGTAGTGAAGTTGGACTTAGGTTAGCAGAGAGGAGTGTTAGAGAGGTTTTTTGGTTGAAATTAGTAGTTTGGGTGTGAGATTGGTGCATCTAGGCCACTTTTACTTCCAGCTGGGTGGATGAAGGCTGGGTGGAGAGGAAGGCATTCCTGTGCTTGTTATTTGGTCCCTCCATGGTTGATCATACTCAGTGATTTGTCTCTGCTCCTCACAGGCAATAAAGTAAATGATTTTTTTGGAGACAGCTTGTGGTACTGGTGTCAAAACATGACCTTGATTTGCTTCTTCAAAGATAAAGTGACCTCATTGAGTAGCTAAACCCTTGAATTTGGTAGCTGAGTTCAGGTCCAGTAGTGCTCCTGGAGGAAAAGACTGTCAAAATTGTTGGAATTTTAGTATCTTGCCAAATACTTTACAAACACTGCCAGTAAATACTTAGAACCAACTATTAGAACCAACTATGAGAGATTTCTCATCTCTTTCTTTCTTTCTTTCTTTCTTTCTTTCTTTCTTTCTTTCTTTCTTTCTTTCTTTCTTTCTTTTTTGACAGGCAGAGTGGACAGTGAGAGAGAGAGATAGAGAGAAAGGTCTTCCTTTTTTCCATTGGTTCATCCTCCAAATGGCTGCTATGGTTGGCGAACTGCGCCGATCTGAAGCCAGGAGCCAGGTGCTTCTTCTGGTCTCCCATGGGGTGCAGGGCCCAAGCACTTGGGCCATCCTCCACTGCACTCCCGGGCTACAGCTGAGAGCTGGCCTGGAAGAGGAGCAACCGGGACAGAATCCGGCACCCTGACCAGGACTAGAACCTGGGGTGCCGGCGCCGCAGGTGGAGGATTAGCCTATTGATCCACGGCGCCGACCTTCTCATCCATTTCCATGTTCAAATTGAGGAAAGAGTTGAGGTTCAGAGATAACGGACCTTAATTGGCTTTCAAACTTACATCTGTATAACTCCGCTCCATGCTATTTTCCTTACACCAGGAATGTGTAAGTGATGGCATATGTACCACAGTTTCCATGGCAGGTGTTATAAATCACATTAATTTTTGATCCTGATCCTGCACTACACTTCATAATCTTCCTCGGTGTAAGTTCACGAATGCATTATCAGTGGATTTGCAAGATGAACCCATTTTGCAATGCTAAAAGCAAATCATGCAGACTTCCAAAAGCCCTTTATATATATCTCTGTGTCATTGGTAATGTATTGCCATAATGCCCTAAGGACCAGATTTGATCCTCAATCATTTTTTTTGAAGATTTATTTTATTTATTTGAAAGACAGAATTACAGAGAATGGTAGAGACAGAGAGAGAGGTCTTCCATCCTCTGGTTCACTCCCCAGATGGCCACAGTGGCCAGAGCTGAGCTGATCCGAAGTCAGGAGCCAGAAGCGTCTTCCAGGTCTCCCACGTGGGTGCAGGAGCCAAGGACGTGGGCCATCTTCTGCTTTCCCAGGCCATAGCGGAGAGCTGGATCGGAAGAGGAGCAGCTGGGACCAGAGCCGGCACGCATATGGGATGTCGGTGCTTTAGGCCAAGGCTTTAACCCGCTGTGCCACAGCGCTGGCCCCAATCCTCAATCATTTTATTCTAAATCCTAACCCAGTCTACAGCTTTTAACATGTTGAAGTAATGCATTTATATGACTGCTCTGTAATTAGAAAAGCCTTGTACAGTGTTTATAAGCTGTCCCTATTCTAAAAGAATCATTTGAGATACACAAATGAAGTCAGGATTTAGCTGGATAATGGAGGGAGGTATGTCTGTTGTCTTGAGGGGGATGGTTAGGGTCATAATGATAGAATGGATATGTGATAGGTAGGGGAAGATGAGTATATATATTGATAAGAAAGGTTGAACACTATTAAATATTGATGGCAAATGGTGCTTTGTTGAATGCCTGCTATGCAAGAGTTTTCCTATCAAATCCTCTTAAAAAGTCTCTAAAGATTGGGGCCAGTGCTGTGGCATAGCAGGTAAAGCTGCCACCTGCAGTGCCGCCATCCCATATGGGCACCAGTTTAAGTCCCAGCTGCTCCACTTCTGACCCGGCTCTCTGCTGTAACCTGGGAAAGCAGTGGAGGATGGCCCAAATCCTTGACCCCTTGCACCGGTGTGGGAGACCCAGAGGAAGCTCCTGGATCCTGGCTTTGGATTGGCGCAGCTCCAGCTGCTGTGGCCAGTTGGGGAGTGAACCAGCAGATGGAAGACATCTCTCTCTGCCTCTCTTTTCTCTATGTAACTCTTACTTTCAAGTAAATAAATAAATCTTTAAAAAAAAAACTCTCTAAAGAACATACTGTCACCCCTATTTTACATATGAGAGAAATAACACTTTTTTGGCTACAAAACCCATGGCATGAGTTCACTATTAAGCTAAGCAGTCTTAAAGACTAGATTGAGGTTTTAGCTTTGAGATGAGGAGCCAAATAAAACAGGTGCCCAGTCATGAAAATATCCTTGGTTTGGTAGTACCTGCTGGATCAAAAGGAAGTGAAATAAGCAGGTAATTGGTATAGTAGAAGAAAACAGTTTATAATAGGCATTGAGTAAAGTTAATTTCCAATTATCTACAACTTTGAAATCCTGGTCTTTCTAAAAATCATTGTAATTAGGAATAGTTCTACTAACTAACCTTTTTTATTTTAAGATTTATTTATTTATTTTGAAAGTCAGGGCTACAGAGAGAAATCTTGCATCCACTGTTTCACTTCCCTGATGGCTTTAACAGCCAGCACTGGACCAGACCAGCGTCAGGAGCTTCTTCTGTTCTTCCATGTGGATTGTAAGGGCCTAAACACTTGGGCCATCCCATGCTGTTTTCCCCAGGCCATTAGCAAAGAGCTGGATCAGAAGTGGAGGCTGGGACACAAACTTGACACCCTTATGGGATGCAAGCCTTCCAATGCAGCAGCTTAACCTACTAAGCCACAGTGCTGGACCCAGCTTTCTTTCTTTCTTTTTAAAGATTTTATTTATTTATTTGAGAGGTAGAATTACAGACAGTGAGAGAAAGAATCAGAAAAGTCTTCCATCCAATGGTTTGATCCCCAAATGGCCTAAACGGCAGGAGCTGAGCTGATCTGAAGTCAGGAGCCAGGAGCTGCTTCTGGGTCTCCTATGCCAGTGCAAGGGCCCAAGCACTTGGGCCACCTTCTACTGCTTCCCCAGGCCATAGCAGAAAGCTGGATCAGAAGAGGAACAGCTGGGACTAGAAAAAGCACCCATATGAGATGCTGGCGCTGCAGGTGGAGGATTAACCCACTGCGCCACAGTGCCAGCCCTGGACCCAGCTTTCTTTAAAAAGTAAATCCACCCTGGATCTGACTTGAGACTGGTTCATAATAAGTTCTTTTGGAAAATTGGGTTACAGCCAGATTCTAGTGTAATAAGACTTATATGTCGTAATATATTGTCAAGGCTTCTGGAAGCATTTAGAATCTGAGTTTATAGACAGATGAACACCAAACCTTTAGAATTAGATCACATAACTGAAACTGTGAAATTCATGAATTCAAGTCATTCAGATTCTAAAGATGATGACTGTAGCACCAGTGATAGAATGATCCCTGTAATTGTTTTGCAGCCCTCAGTTGGTTCACCAGAAAATGATGTAACTTCCCTCCCCCAAGATGACTCAGATTTAGGCTATAGTAATTTTCCTGTAAGTATAAATCTTATAGATTTTCAGTAGTATCTTAGACTGTGGAGAAACTACAACAAAAAGATGAACATAGATGTTCAAACCCAGACAAAGCTTTTGAATCTAATGTAGCATGTAAATGCTAATGCTTGAACTCTTTCTTTCCTTTCTTTCTTTCTTTCTTTCTTTCTTTCTTTCTTTCTTTCTTTCTTTCTTTCTTTCTTTCTTTCTTTCTTTCTTTCTTTCTTTCTTTCTTTCTTTTCCTTCCTTCCTTCCTTCCTTCCTTCCTTCCTTCCTTCCTTCCTTCCTTCCTTCCTTCCTTCCTTCCTTCCTTGACAGGCAGAGTGGACAGTGAGAGAGAGAGACAGAGAGAAATTTGCCGTTGGTTCCCCCTCCAATGGCCGCCGCGGCCGGTGCGCTGCGGCTGGCACTGCACTGATCCGATGGCAGGAGCCAGGTACTTATCCTGGTCTCCTATGGGGTGCAGGGCCCAAGCACTTGGACCATCCTCCACTGCACTCCCTGGCCACAGCAGGGAGCTGGCCTGGAAGAGGGGCAACCAGGACAGAATCCGGCGCCCCGACCGGGACTAGAACCTGGTGTGCCAGTGCCGCAAGGCGGAAGATTAGCCTAGTGAGCCGCGGCGCCGGCCCTGAACTCTTTCTAACATCAAAAAAACCAAAAGGGCTGGTGCTCTGGCTCACTTGGTTAATCATTTGGCTGTGGCGCTGGCATCCCATATGGGCACTGGTTCTAGTCCCAGCTGCTCCACTTCTGATCCAGCTCCCTGCTATGGCCCGGGAGGGCAGTGGAGGATGGCCCGAGCACTTGGGCTCCTGTACCCGCATAGGAGACCAGGAAGAAGTACCTGGCTCCTGGCTTCGGATCGGTGTAGCTCTGGCCATTGTGGCCATTTGGGGAGGGAACCAATGGAAGGAAGACCTTTCTCTCTGTCTCTCTCTGTCTATAACTCTACCTGTCAAATTAAAACAAACACACACACACACAAACAAAGAACAAGACAAAAAAAAATACAATAAACTTGTGTTCAATATTTTTTAAAATAATGGTTTCTTTTATTTCATTTTTTAAGATTTATTTGAAGTCAGGAAGAGAAACAGAGAGATATCTTTCCATCTGCTGGTTCACTCCCCAGGTGGCTGTAATGGCCAGGGCTGGACCAAGCTGAAGCCAGGAGCTTCATCTAGGTCTTCTGCAAGGGTTGCAGGAGCCCAATCCTCCGTTGCTTTTTTCCAGGCCATGAGTAGGGAGCTGGATCAGAATTGGAGCAG